CAAAGGCGAGCAACATTCATGCATTTTATACAGTACATGGGTTACTCCAAAAGACGCAGAGTAAATAAGGGCAGAAATAAATTCAGAGTCACAACTACTGAATGGTGAGAATGACGGATCATTTGAAGGTCTTGTCTCCATCTACAGGGTAGGAAATAAGAGTGGAGAATAACATCTACCCAAACTGGAAAACAAGACGATTATTCTCAGCTTAATTTTAAAAAGGAAGATTTTAACATATGAACAAGTTTTAATCCCCCCCCTGTTGGGGTGGGTTTTTTTGTTTGTTTTTTTTAAACAATTGTACATTTGTCCCTTGTAATCTTAGAAAGCAGAAAAAATATGCTAAACTGCAGGATTCAGAAGGAGCTTTCATATATAAACAGGGATGTAACCAAATAAGGCTTTAGGGGAAGTATTTGATATTTGTCATGCTCTATCTTTGTTTTAATGTTGTGGTATTACTATTAAGGAAATGAAGCCGTCATTAATGTCAGAGCAGTGCTGCTGCAGTGGGGGAGCTCTTCGTAATCTGAGAAACGCGCCTGCTCCATGTGGGGTAATAAATTACAGATCCTTGGCCCTGCAGTTACTTCTGTAACTTTCCAAGCAAATCCAGTGGTGGCGAAATGTACTCTGCAACCAGTGATACTTTATAGCAAAATCCTCTTCCCCCCATAGGAAAACTCTGCTATAGCTGGATTCATGACTTAGATTTTACAACACATTGAAATACTGCAGTTTTTTGTAGTAAAATTGAATTGCAAGTCTGTTATATGAGGGTTTGCTATTTTGTCTTCCCTCTGAGTTAATTGGGATTCTGGTGATGCAGTGGGTGAAACAGCCTTGACCACTGAATGCAACTATAGGTCTCACAGCACTTGCCATGAATGTTAGAGGGGTTAGTTAGCCTTGCTGTCTTGGCTGTTTTTTTCAACAGAAGGTAGCGCTTGCTTTCTACTTGAATTCCTTGCAGTTTTGCTTTGGTATCGTAGTCTTCGTTATTTCCAGTGTTGTTGTCTGGCTTGGTTCTGCAGATAACATAGTTGTAATGTTTTATCTCTGCGGTGTCTTCGTTTCACTCCCATGAACTTTGTACAGAGCTTGCAGCAGGCTTTCCTTGTGGGTGTAAGGTGCTGTATAAACTATTTAAGGGGAATATGATGAGAAAATACCAATCTAACCAGTTTAACAACTTTAAACTCCCAGTAGCTGTAAGAAGTGTTACTATTTAAATATAACATTCCTTTGTAATACTCTGATTTAAAGGGTTCAGAGTTCATGAAATAATAAGTAAATTTAAAAAAATGCTTTTAGTTTTAGAGCTGGTTTCACTTTTCTTGCAGAGGAACATACTTTGTGCTGCAAGCAAAAGGACCTGTTGCTTTCTGCAGGAGGCCCTAACCATTTAGTGTTCCCCCACTTGTGCCTGGCATACAAATCGCAGGGGGTCGTCATGAACTAGTGGTCAGTCCTTGTGTACCCTTGAGCGGGCTTGCTGGTACAGCTATGCCAATAATGCTATACCAGCAATATCCTAAGGGAACTCTTTTTCTGGCACAGCTTAAATGGCAGAAGACCTTTGCTGGTATAATTGTGTCTACTCTAGGGCCTTTGCTGGTATAGCTGTGTTGGTGTGGACCAGATGGAGGAATTGTGCCTCTGGCCATCAGAGGTAGGCCAGTGCAACTTGTAAGTGTAGCTGAAGACTAAGACAAATAAAGACCTAGGGAAGGGTGAGGATTCAGATGACCTGGCCATCCATTCCCAGGTTTCCCATGTGGTTCTTTGACCTTGGGCACCCTGTACGGACACCTATCGCTGTCCCTTCTCATCTCTAATTAAGGCAGTGAGGCACTGGCTTTCCAAGTGAGTTGTGTAACAGATTAGTATGTAGGTTTTCTCTTTGATTGTGACCTTTGGCTCCCCAGTACATTTCTTGTGCTGCTTCATTCAGATCTTGAAGCTGTTGCTGACTCTGTGGCAACTAGGGTTGATTGAATTTCAGGTAATAACCACAACCTAGGAACAGAAGCTGTGACTTAGTAAAAAGGTAAGGGTTAAACCTTAATACCTTGAACAATGCCCAGTGAAAGCATGTTGTGTCTAAAAGTGTCTTGCATTTCATCCAACTATGCAGTTGATCCAGTAAAAGCTAGCACCAAAAACCTAGCTTGTCCCATATCTAGTGACATTCTGCATGACTTACTCTTTAGCCAGTTGGATCTTTGTCCCATGTTAATATGTGTAAATCAATGCCTAATACCATTAATTGCTGCAGAGGGTGGGACGAGCAAAGGATAAGGTATTTATTATTACAGTGTTCCTGTTGGAAATATTGTTCACTATGCGTTATATGATGATATTGGCATATTAGGCGATGGTCAAGTACAATGTGTGATTTGATGGATAGCCAGTGAAAACAGTCAGTTATGTAAGTTTTGATGATGACCACTTGCTACATATTTCCAAAGTGCTAAATGTGCTTTGCTAAAATTTCCCAAAAGGTTGTACAACTTTCTTTTGTTTGTAGGGTAGGTATAATAAATTCTAAACTAGAGTGAATTCAGCGATTAGCCATGTATTGCTTTCTTGTTAAGATAATAGAGTTTATTTTGCATCAGACATAACAGGGCAGAACACTAAGTGAAGATAAACAGTGGAATCTGACTGCGGGAAGGTTTTGGAACAGTTTGTATCAAAATCTCTAATCTGTGTAAACTGGCTTGCCCAACCAAGGTGTTTGACGTTAGACATTGCCTGTGGCAATAGCCTAATCCATTGTTTTAGTCCAAAATATACATTTATTGAAGGGAATCCCATCAACCTGTTTTGGAAAATTATTTTGAGCCTAATACTAGATAATCAAGACTGGCTTATATTTTTTACTGTGGAATTATACTAAGCAGGTTTCTTTTTCCACCCTTCTTATTTTACATTTTTTAAGGCCTACCAAATTAAAACAGGAACTCTTCAAGGGCCCACTACAGTTGATTATTAATAGAGAGATTCATACCTGTATTTTTCAAACCACGACTTTAACAGCACAGGAAAGGCAGCACTATTTGTTAACATAACTGTTCTGTATCTAGATAGAAATGCACTGTCCAGTTTTTAGGGAGTATACAACATTTCATGTTCTGAAGTTAAGCATTTTGAAGTCTGCAGAACCGGATTACTTGAACGTAGGTTTGGTGGGTTTTGGTTTGTTTTTTGTACCAAACCACAAAAGGAGGGGGCGGGGGGCGGTTAAAGATGTACCCAAGGAAATTTGAGCCATTAATGTTCATTTTTAACAAATCATAGAAGACTGCAGAAGTTCTAGACTAATGATGGGCTGGGGAGGAGGGGGAAGCTAGTCCTTCACCAATGTTTAACAAAGGTAAATAGAAAAGCCAGTTAACCTTATGCAAATGCCAGGCAAAATCAAGAAACAACTAGTAGGGGGTGCAAGCAGGGCAATAGCATAATACAACCATAATGATACCATAATGATTGTAGTTATTGGAAGTTGAGTATTGTCAGGACAAACTTGTTTTTTTTTTTTGTGGTTACAAATGTGCACAGTGAGGGTGATTATGGTAAGGTAACAAGGTTACCTTTTTCTTAGTTGCTGGGTTTTCCCAGATATTGCCCCTGTCTTGTGCAGTTCCCTCCTGGCCACCTGGATCAGGTTCTGCACTTTAGGATTTAAGTCAAAGTTGT